CTTGAAATTAGATATGTCAGGAGTATCAACATGTGTAGGATACTTCTGACACCACTGGCTGTTTGGAGTCGTCTTCTATATTTGTTAAAACATTTAATGAGATGTATATATTTTTTGAAGTTATCTAAGAGCAATAAATGAAACTTTAAAAGTTACTGAAAATAATATGGTGATGAACAGAAGTAGCAAGCATCCTCCGGTTTTCTGTTGTCAAGAGATATTTTCAGAAGTTCACAGGCTTCTATAAAGTCCAAGATACCACAGCACTGCGAATCACAAAACAGATTTTAATAATTGAGTAAGTTGTTTTCAGTGTCAGTGGATTACTGGCATATTCAGAAACCTGACAATTGACATCTGTATACAAAAGATATGTGTTTCTTCTTCCTCTTAGAAAGCAGAGTTTTAGGTACTTCAATTGTGCAACATTTCAAAAACTTCCACTAAAGCTGCTTTCTGGTATATTTTCTTACAGTGCATACATCAGATTTATGTAGATGCTTCTGCTGCTATTTCATGTTTTGTCTGCATCAAGCAGAGTATCTGTTCTAAACATCAACGCCACTGAGTACGAGTGAATGACTTGAAAAAACTAAAAAGGGAAGAAATATAAGATGTCAGATGTCTTCAAGAATTAAGGTCAGATTTGGAAAAATGTTTCATCAGCCCCTGAATTCCATGAATTTAAGGATTTTAATTTTAGTAATACAGAATTTTAAAGACTGACTAGGAATATAATCAAAAACAGTCTGCACAGGTGAGCTCCACGTCATTTCCCCCCACCCTTTCCCAATTATTGGGCACACTGGGGATTCTGGAAGTCACATTTAGTGTTAATTCCTCATGAGATGTGTTCTCCTTCCTAAGATTCTGACTGAATACCCTTGGGCTTTAATTGTTAAAGTGCAACTTGTAGGAGCCCCTCTCTGGCTGTGGTCTGGGGGGACACAGTTCCTCTCAGAGCCTTGCAGCACACTTGGGACAGCAGGAAGCCATTCAAATAGAGAATGACTGCACAGCCAGGTACAGACAGGAGATCCTGAACCCTGAAAAACTTCTGAGCCCCAACAAAAGAGCCAAAAGCAACAAGCTCAGCTCAGAACACCTCAGCTATCACCTGGAAACCCCAAGAGTCTGCAATTCCCATCAGTTCAGCAACTAGAACTGTGTGTGGCAGAGGGACACACCATGAGCAGATCTCACACCTTGATCACAGGAAGGACCATCACAACTTCATACAACAGAGACTGTGCCTACCCTGCCTGAGGTAAGGGCAGGCAGCAAGGTAGAAAAAGGGACAGAGGTTGTATCACTGTCTGGGTGGTGGCTGTGGGCTCATCTCCCAGAATGGGATGAATTCAAAAGAAGCATTTTTGTAGAGTTCAAATACTGCTAATGTGACTGAAATAACCTGCCAGTTTGGCAATAGCAAATTCAATAGTCATGGGTTGGGAAGGGGAGTCAGTGTAGGCAACATTGTCTCAAGTCAGCACTAAAATAGTAACAAAAATCCTAATGCTAGGGAGTAGGGATCTTATTTCATTAAAGCAATTAGAGGTTCACAGTTCACATGAACACCTTATTAAATGAAACTAAGCACATTTCTTTTAAAGAGGTTACTTATGTGTAAGGCCTTATAGTGCCCTATCTGTTTAAATTATTTCATCTAGATTAGAATAAAATTGCTATTTTCAAGATCAGAGAATATGATCTTGAGGCTCAGCTGCTGTATCTACACCACCCTCCCACTTCTGGAAAAGAAAGAAAAGAAAGGAAAATAATCTAAAAAAAAAAAAATTAAAAATTCAAGGAAAGCCATATGCAGGAAGAGGTTTCTACCTTATTCCTTTCTACCTATTTCTACCTTATTCCTTTCTAATTTAGACAGCAAATTCTTTAAGAAAAGGGCCATCATGTCTTCACTACACAGCAGTGGGCACATGTGAGCACCTCAAGTAGCATCAGCTGCTGCAGAGACACGTGGGAGAGCAGCAGAGACCTGGTGGGACAGACGAGGGCTGCAGCCACACACTGGAGGTGTCACTGTCCACCCCACTGAGCACGTGGCTGCAGGAGCTCCTGCTCTCCCCTCTGTGGTGCTCGAGGTGGTACTTGGGAACCAGACAAGGAAAACAACTTGTCAAATCCTTTCTTTAATTTCTATGACACTGAAACAGTCAACATGGTCAAAGGTATCAGAGGAACAGGGACAAAGATAAACATCACGTTACAGACAGTAAACAAAGCTTCCTATGAATGCAAAAACTGTTTACTTGTACAGTAACCAATACTACTATTTTTTAGCTTAAAAGTGATAAGCATGTGTGCTTTAGGCTTAGAAACCCCACAATATTACAGTTCTGCCACTCCATTTAATATTGTGCTATCAACACAGAATAAAGCCTAACTTAAAACACTTAGTTTACATCTATTTTTTTGGTCTTGTGTGGTATCTAGTTGAAGATGGAAGCATTGATGTGCTTTTGCCTCATAAGAAGTGAGGCAGATGTTAATGTCACTAAGATCAGCTGTATATACCTTGAAGGTATAGAACACCTGACTCTACATGAGTCAAAATACTAGGAATGTACTGTCAATATCCATTAATGAATTACCAGTTGCTCGTATTTAAGTGACAATATGTTCTGTGAAAAGTACACAGTGACCTGTATCTTACACGCGGTAACGAAGTTTTGCATAAGCATGTTGTTTTCAAGGCCAAAGGTGTATCTTAATGTGGACAGTGTCACAATATCAACAGCTCAGTTTAAATCAAAACACTGTCAGTAGTTGTACAGGGTAGTTCTGAATTTCTCGTCCACCTTGGAAACCACACAGCACCTCAAACATCCCAGAGATTCCAGTGTAAAATCTTCCCATACGGAGCTTAACCCACACATCTGCCTGCAGAATCCAGTAGAAAGGGTGGGGACAGTCAAGGCTGTAATGTAATGCTTATTTTGAAAATGAGTTTTAAAGCCTTGCCTGAAGCTTGGGTGCTTCTCAGTAGGAACTGCCTCTGCTTAGTTTAAGTAATTGCCCAACTCACTTTCAGAAACCACGGGCACAGTAGAATCCACCTTTTTCTGTGTTCCTGGGTCACTGGTGTCAGGACAAACCTCTCCAAAGGCATGAAGAGCAAGACCCAGGATGGTTCACACTCCCTTGGTGTATTCCTAATATTAATTTCTTCAGTTTCACAGAGTGTATTTAAATAACTGTCTTAATTTTGTAACAAAAATATTTCTATATAGCTAACTGGCCTCACGCACCACAATTCACCAGCCCCACCAAGACACGAAGGACAATTTTGGTCACACAATGACTTGTATGAAGAAGTGAACACATTTCAGTTGTTTTTAACTATAATGCAAATACATAAGGCTACAAGCCCTGTGAATACCTGAATGGTGCCCCTAATAATATATCTCCCAACATTTTAAATGTAAACACATTTTAAAACAACTTTTAGTTACAGCTCCCTGTTCTTGGTTGCAGAACTTTGACTCAGATAAAGATTTCTCTCTAAAGTGTCAGCATTAAACTCACACAACAGAAAAGATGCTTGTAAATCTTAGTGAAATCAAGCAATTTTACTTTGTCTTCCAAGATTTGGTACAACACATCAACAGTCAGTTCAATAAGCCTTCAATTTTTACCAATCACACACACACACACTAAAAAGTAACTCTCTAGCATCGTATTTACTGCAGCAATATTTACATTATGCCCCAGTTCAAGTCAGAAAAGGCAGCTGAAAAAAAAAAAAAAAAAAAAAAAAAAAAAAAAAAAAAAGAAGATGAGAGAAATCCTCATGGAGCTTGATTTTTGAAGCACTTTAGTGAAAAAACCAAGCAGACATTCACACCAACAGCAATGAGGGCGACAGCCCAGAGCAGTCATCTCAGGAGAACACCCAAAGAGTTTCTGACACAAGGTTTACCTTATTTCAGAACCACACTGGAGAGCAAATTGTCCCCAGCTGATCACATACAAAACCCCAAACTACAGACAGACTGACATAGTTGTTTTATAGAAATGGGAAATAAACAGGAACATTTTCTGGCTCCCTACCTGATGGGCTCTCACTGAACGTGTCCCCATTCCAATCTGTTCAAAGATTACTTGCGGTCAAGCACGACAAAAACGCAACCAGTTTTGGAATACTTGTTTTTTTTCTTTACTGTAAACTGCTTACAGGATTCCCAAGGCCGCAGTAATGCTACGAGAAAGGATGTTACCACCCACCAATGCCATCCTGAATCTAAGGCCTCTGAGCAGTTTAACTGTAACACTGCAAAAATTCAAACTACCAAGACTGAACACACAAGTTTTACTTATCAAACCACCTATGTCATCTCTATAATCTTAATTTATGATATCTATACATATAGGCCTATATACATCTTCATGTGCACATTAAAAAAACAGGCTAGTGACAGACACTGGATTGTGCCACTGAACAGAAATCCTGGTAACTGGAGTACAAATTCAGAGAAATTTACTTCAAATTAAAGATTGTAGAAAACTGCAACTGCAGTCTCCTAGGCCTGTGCTCCTTGCATTGATTACAAGTACTGCTTACACACAGTAGTTCATCAAGAATTTTACAGGGGGTACTGGGAAGGGTAAAGGACCTCCACAGCACAGTAGCTCACAGAATTGTAAGAGCTGTGACAGGGGGTCTACACAGCTTTTTACAAAGCATACTAGGCTCAGATTTAACACTGAAGGTAATCTTCATGTGGATTTCAATAAGACATTGTTTGACCACCAGTAAAGCAACCTGGCATTTATAGCTAAGGACAGACAGCTGAAAATACTGGCCTTCCAAGAAAGCATCATGACACAGCCTACTGTATCCAGCACAAAGGGAACTGGGATCTCCACCAGTTACCGCCATTTTTAACACACTCTTGTAGAACTGTTTATCTGCTGTAAGGATGCCTACTCCAGGTACTTTATATTTCCAGTAAGGGTCATATTGGGCTTCAAGTGTATTTTTTTTTTTAAACCAAGTCCCAAAGTTATTCTTTATAGCTGTGTTTGTATAACACAGGAGGTACTGTGCATTCAAAATAGTAACAAGTTTAAAAATAAAGATGTGAGACTTTCAACAAATAAAAAGGAATGCATTATTCTCTTCAGCTTCCAGTCTTCAAGGCACCTCCTGCATTAACTCACTGGGAAATAAACAAGCAGACCAAAAGTTCACTGGAAAGAGAAGAATGTGACACACCTAACTTCCTCAGAAGCACAGAGCATCAAAAACGAGACAAGGCTGGACCCAAACTAACGACAACTAAAAGCAATATAAAAATGCTGATGAGATGACAGGAATGCCACGAGGTTGATGTTTTCAGCTCTGTTGATTGCAGGTGATTGTTATCACAGTGATTTCTGATGGCCATTTGCGGACGGCTTTGTCTCCGAGTCTCTTGGATTGTTTGATAGATGAAGTTTATCTAATCCTGCAAAACATTAAGAATGATATAAAACTGAGACTCTCCCGTGTTTCATGCATTCATGTGTTCAAAAGAATACAGAGAATCCAAATTCTACTTTGTGTTTAAGGACTTCACATTTGCTGAAGACCAGAATTGACCTTCTAGCTCCAGTAAGAATTACTTCTGGGGAGTTCCCTCAGTGGTGGTGAAGTGAGAAAAGCCCATTACGATGGACAAGCATGGAAGCCAGAGAATCCTAACATTGCTTAAATCACAGACTTAGATGTCAAGAACCAAGAAAGACTTGCAATTCTTTACCCTGCAAACCTACAAAAACCTAAATAATTACCTAAAATATTTCTTTTAAACTATAGCAACTTTCTGAAAATCACCCATTTCTGATCTGAATGTCATTGGTGTCGACCATATTACTTCTCTAAACTGTTTATATGTCTAATAACATTTTTAGGCCTACATTATTACGATTTATCTCAGTTTCCAGCAGTTTGTTCTTTTTGCACAGTTCTCTGTTGTGACTGCTAATTCAAGTCTCAGATCCAGCCCCAGGCAAGTAATTAAACTACTCTTTTTGGGGGAGGGAGGGGCAGATGGGGAAAGGTGGTAAATTTAACCATATTTTATTCACAAGAGGCATGATGTCAGTCCTTCCTTACTTGCTATAGTTCCTCTCTGAAGTCTCTGAAGCCTCTAAAATTAAGGATAAGAAATGGAAAGAGCTTCTTATTCATGTAACGTAGATTATACTGAATGTTTTACTCAAATGCCACGACGCACAAAGTTAAATTTCTTGCATTGCTGGAATTCCAAAATTGACTGGTCTACTAAAGAACCTAAAGCTCCTCAATAGTGTCTTATTTGTAAGTCCCTATATTACATGAATTCTTTTCGGTCATAGACCAATTTTGGTTCTCATTCTTGACACTTTGTTATGTATAGCAGTGAAAACAAGTCCAGTTTTTGTCAGGAATCTGGACATTTCAGGGTTTATAACTCCCTACTTGTTTCAGTGACCACTACCCTACCACGCCTGCATTTTCAGGTCCATTACAATGCCTTCAATGTACATAATTTTTTATTAAACACTTTATTTATAATTATTTGACAAAAATTTTAACCTAATTTGCTACCAACAGAGGCGCATTTTGAGAAGTGCTTGGAGTTTGTTTTAGCATCACAACAAAGCAGCAATCAGTGAAAACTAACAGGAGTGACTTCTAGATGCTGCAAACTGAATCCACAGTTACAAAGAAACAATTAAGTTTCACCATTAATCCTCTCAATATAAGCAAATATCAGTCTAAGGATCTAAAAAGACAGGAGACTTGTTAACTAGTAAAAATTAGATGTAGCAACAACAATACCTATGTATATTTTGTCCTTTTAGTATCAAATCTGTTTCACTTCTTTTTTCTATGATCAAGAAATATGAATGCACAATTTGATCAAATTTGTTGTTATATCAGGTGCAGGTTTGACTAAGACATTTACTAAGATTCTGTATACTCTGTACAAAGATTTTCTGACCACATACTGGAAAAAAGTATCACAACAAAGCAGCTAAGACTGCCACTATTTTTAGGGCACTAATAAGTTGCTTTAAACGAAAAGAAAAAAGCCAATCCATACACAAGCTGCAGTTTTGGTTTGTAATAATTGCTCATTACTGTGCTCTCCAAAGGCTGAAAATCCAACTGCAGATCAGCAAGTCTCACATATCACTAAAATCAACACCGTACCTTAGCTCTGGACTCTTCAAAAAACAACACAATGCTATGAATCCTCACCTTAACTTACGGAAACTTCCACCAAATGAAAGTTTCCAGAACTTTACCAGTAGCGTGCACATCAAGGCACATCAGTGATGGAGAAAGGAAATGTTCAAGCACACACAGAATTCTCAGAGCTGTGTTACCTAATGCCTTCAGGAGCTCTTCTCGCACAGCTGAAGTGAACTTTCTGACCAGACACAACGTTGTCATGATAGCAAAGAGCAAGTTGTAAGATAATACAATATAGAAGTTCCCCAGCCAGTTGAACCTTCCAAAATCTCCAAGCAGATCAAATCTGGTGATTCCTGTTAAATTGCATGTAAGATTTAGATCAAAATATTTATAACATTTTTTTAAGAAACATAAAAATTTCTATTACATTTACATTTGAATGCAAAATTCTTTCAGACAGCACAACAGAAGACACATGGTTAAATGTACAAGGCAACATTCTCAAGATCATGTTTTACAAAAATGTTTCCTGAATTTCCTAGTAAAATGCTTGAATGATGGGAGTTGAAATTAATTGTCTACTCTATGTAAGAACTATGCTTTTATAATTTCAATAAATAAAAATAACTAGGAAAAAAATCAGGTTTAGCACGAAAATGCTTGAAACCTCAGTTTCTATGAAAACCCTATTTATTCCAGAAAAGGATGAAATGCCCCATGGGTTTTCTTACAAAAAAAAAAAAAAAACAGGTAGGAAAGAGCCTTTCTATGAGAGACACAACATCTTACGGTAAACACTAAGCCTTTGTCGGTGTTTTTGCAGAGCCACTGCTTTTGAAACCAAAGTTTAAAGACATCTTTGCAACTGCAGTTTTTCTCCTGGATCAACCCACCACTACAGCCACGGAGTACGTGGCTGAAAGACGGTGCTGACAGGTCTCCTTCACAGGCACCTCAAACCCTGACACTCAGGCTTTGTGCCGATCAAAGGCCTGTCAATCACTACAGTTAAATGAACACAATTTTTCCAAAACGTGGAAATGTCTACAAGATGTAGGGCCCGCCCCAGAAAGCAGGAGAGGAAGAACCATAGGTTGTTCCTTTGTCAAGTCTTATGAAGTACCGCACTGAACTGAGTACCATTGAGATGGTACCCACAAAACCATTGCCTACGATTGCTAAACCATTATATTCCTAAAAAACTTCTGGCACAGATGATGTGACAGCAAAGCTTGTCCTTACAACAGGACAAAGGAGGAGACTTACTTTGTCCCTGAACTAAAATAGCAAATGAGGCAATCACAAAAAAACCCTGGCTCTGAAGCTCCTGGAAGTGAGTTTTCTATCATGTTATTTCTTAAAGGTTTGGGGGCTTTTAAGAACTGACTTCAACACTGATAATAAACGAAGAGGGGCAGAATTAAGGGTCAGTTACCCTCCTTTGAAGGGTAAACCTGGCACTTAGGAATCTCATTGTAACTGGATACCCAAGACTTGCAGCCAGTTACTAAAATGTTAAAAGATACACATACTTCTTGTACTCAGCATTAAAACACAGGAATCAAACTTGGTATCTAAGGAAAAGATCCCAAAATTAAGAAAATTAAGAAGTTCTAAAGGATGAAGCAAAACAATCACTGAAGCTGATCAAAATAGCAACAGGTAGAAATATCAAAAAAGCTCAGACGATCTTAGCGCAAAAAGAGGAAAATGGCTGTTTAAATTAACTGGCAAAGAGACGAAGGACAATAAACTGCTTTTCCACTCGAAGGCAAATAGTGTCTTTCAGATTTCCAAAGGCAGCAGTGTTTTAGTCAGACTGTGAGGCTACAGGAAAACTGAGAAAGTCAGATTTGAATGTACAGTCTTCCCAAGCTTTAAAGGAAAAGAAACAAAACAGGCAGAGCACTGGGGAGAGAGTTCTCTGGAAAAGGAATAACATTCCTTGACACACAGAGGTCCAAAAGAACAGCAACCCACAGAGCAGTGTTACAAGGACAAATAGAAATGAACCCTGACACTTCTGTTAGAGCAAGTGGGAAAATACTGTCCATATATTACATTCAATCTCTTCTAACAAATAAGAAAAGTCACTGTTCGTGACAAAAAATCTGACACTGTAACATTTTGTAAACTTGTGGGAAAAAGGGGTAAAAAGCTTTGGATTACTTTCTTACAGAAGAAGTACCAATTGAGCCCACAGAGGGGAAAAAAAAGAACCCAAGACTAATTTGAAAAACTATTTAGTAATTGACTAGAAACCTGCATGTCTAGTGCTCCAAATATATATACACTAAAGCCAGTAACAAATTACAAAATAAACTATTAGAGAATTCTTCAGGTGAAAAGTAATAGTATGTTTTTAGACTGCACATACAAAGAAGTTTAAAATCCCTGTTTACTTAAACATAACGCTCAAAAGTAGAATTCTAGGAGAGCTTTTGTATATTAGAAAATTCAATTGTATCTACAATTCTTCGTTTCTGTGTTCCTGACTATCAAGTGCCCTGCTCCCAATTTGTTTCTCGGTGGTTAGCAGTATGGTGCTGGTGGGAAACATTTTTGAAGGGCTGCTAAAAGACTGAAAAGTTCTGGGAAAAATGAATTAAGTAGAATATTTAAGTAGAATAACTTATTTTAGTAAAAACTTTCCTGGAGTTCTAGAAGAATGACAGATTAGACACATCCATCACCTACATATCTAATACGAATGCTATGAAACGTAAAAAATTCTATTTCCATTTTTAAAACTTGAAGAAGGTCAGCACATGTATTAGATAACTTCTGCTTTTTCACCTTTCCCATAAGGATAAAGTCTTGCCTTTTCAGTATAGTCCAGAAACTTGCTTTTTTAATAATGAGAAAAGACTATGAATCTGCTTAACATATTTATTTCTTTTCATCTATTCAGTGCCACAGGGCAGTGGCAGGTAGTGCAACACACACTGATATTTCTGCAAAGCACCACATGACTCACTGTACTCTAATACACTCTATTAATCCTGTTTGGACAGCTGTGACTGTGCATTTGTTAGCTGTGTGTTAATTGTTCCATCTTTTTTCTTCTTTTATTTATCTCTATGGCAAACTATTCAGGAATTCCATTTGTTAGTCTGTTTTTTAAGTGAGTTTTACCATTAATCTGTTTCCTACGAGACAACAATGGGCCCAGCGTGTACACTTACTGCCACAGAATCCGGTTATTATCAACTCTTAATCTCATGGATCATTAACAATTAATTTTATTTTCTTTTAAACAATTCTTGACTGCAGTAACTCACTGGAAACAAACTAACATTATAATTCTGTTCTAAAACACTGATTTTTCAACATAACATCTCGTCCTATGTGGTAGAACTGGTTTACTTCTTAGATCTTTATTGTACTGTCTGTATTTTAAAACTGCACTACTTTAAATACTTGAATTATTCTTTCACATTTTTGTGAAGTTTTACTACAGATTTTTTAAAAATGAGCTCTAGAATGCATATTTTAAGATTCAACACTCCAAAATGCATTAGAGGGTTTTTTGTTTGTTATAGAAATGACTACTAAATCTACTAACACTCCTCACCCGCAGATACAGCCAGTGTGACAATATACAGTGGAGTTTACTAGAAAACATTAACTACTCTTGATTGAACAGTATTCTGGTTGAAAAGAAAATCAGCTACAGAACTGCTGGGCACACACTGCTGGTCTGTGGGCCTGAGCTAAAACTTCTAATCTTGTATTTAAGACTTGTACAGCCCCAGGTGAAGATTTTTGTTTAGTTCCACTTCATGTTGCCAATGAAATTCCCATTAGCTGCAAGAATTCCACACCACTGATACATAATAGCCTTGCAATCTAACTTCAAGAATTCAAGCTGAAGATTACCTTATTAAACAAGGTGAAGACACAAAATGTCTTTTGAACTGGTTAAAATTGTTTAACTATTTCAAATGCTACTGCCAGTTCTTGACAATAGAATCAAAAGGTCTTCAGTTCCGCTATGCTGGACTCAAAATTTTTAAATTTGAAAAAATGAACTAACAAAAAATACAAGCACATTATTTTAGGGGAAATGAAAGTAGCCTGGTATCATTGCTGATAAAGAAAAAACTTAATAAATCAAGGGTCGTTAACTATTTTGAAAAAAATTTTTGCTCAATATTATCTCAAATGTTTTATCTGAAATCCCTGAATGTGTTTTCTGACAGTAACTGAGCACTGTAATTTCACAGTGAACATGAAATCATTTTATACTTCACTGGACAATCAGTTTTCATAACTATTCATCTCAGCATTTCCTGTTTTAAGTTTCAAATCCGACCTACCTTTTTAAAAGAATATATTCTGTAGAAAATGCTTAGCATTTCTTTCTTAGAAAATACGTTCTGCAGCTCATGTATGTAGAATGTACGTTCAACAGCTCACTCTGGTGTAGAAAAGAAGCCCATGCATACCTGCTCTTTGCATTGAAAATGATGGCAAATTAAAATACAGCTACAGGTTGTTCTTTGTCTTATTGGGTTGGGTTTTCCAAACTCAATTAAACTTCCTTTATTAGAGTGCGTTTTACTCCCATTTCACTTACCCAGTGTCCTCGACATCACTGGCAAAGCAGAGCTCAGCACCAAGATTGAGACGCAGTTCCCGATGATCTGTTTGAAAATGATAAGCAGTATTTAAATGATAAATGAGATTGTTGAAAGGAACACAAAGAAAAACAGCGGTCAAGATGAAAAAGAAGAATTCTTAAAAGGTACATTTTTCAAACTGAACATAAAGCATTTTAATTTAATAAGTCAGTAATATATTGTTTGTCTCACTGACTTTTTTCACACTTTCCCATATGGTGTTACACAAGACGAAGATGGTCCATGAAAAAATCAAATATGTAATCCTGTGCTTTTAATCGAAGTGTTACACATGCTTAGATTCAAAATAATTCAAAACTACCACGTTGCAAAGCATCAACTGTTTACTTAGTTCCTGTGAACGTTTTATAAAAGAACCATTCCATGGGCTTAGAAGAGACGACTGATACATCATCAGCTTAAGCCTTGGATGTAACTGCTTGCAGGATTAGCATTATTTAAAAAAATTACAACAAAGAGCTTCCTTTCAATTCAATGCCCGTTGTCTACTTTAAACAGTACGAAAAAATTCACAGCTGTTAGATTTTACTTTAGTTCTTGTAAAGCCTTTATAAAGAGTAATTGAAACTTTCTTTCACAAGGGATCATTTTCTTCAGCCCTGTTTCTATCAGTACCCAAAAGGAAAAAAAAAAACAAACCTGAAAACTTTTTGAAAGTAGGTAGACATTTGTGCATTCACTATTTATTTCTACACTACTCCTGGCACACTGTAAACAATCAAAAGGAAACATTCCAACTCTCTACTACTTATCTACTATAACCATTTTGTGTTGACCTACTTTCTCAGTTCCAACAATTTATATTAAAAAATATCTTCATCCATTACTTTAAAAAAACCAAAAAGCCAACAGCAAAAACAAACAATGAAACACACTGAAAAAATAAGTAAACTCAACATCTGTTCCTTAGTTACTGATCACCTCCCCTTGTCAGCTGTGTGAATATTTTGCCAAAAACCTAGGAATTAGGTAACAGCATTTATTATTCGGAAGCCAGTGGTAAATTGTAGAAAGTCAAATTAGCTTCAGATTGCAAAATGTTGCTGAATAGCCCGCCTCGGTCTTAGTTTAATTATTCAAATTTGAATTACTTTGTCTGTATTACTTCTAGAAACCACGTTGTTCAGAACTCAAACAAGCTCCCTGAAGTACAGTTAAGCGCAATCAAAGTTACTCATTAGCAATACGTTTTCTTTGAAAAAAGTTCTTTCACTTGCTTTTCTATAGCCAGTTAACAAGCCCTGCCATTCCCGGCTTTTTACAAGTGAATGGATGCCATCCAAACTAAACAGAGCACATCCTTTTTCCCACTCATTCAGCATTTTGAAAATCTTCCAGTTTGTGTTTACGCAGCTTACAAACAAATACTGATCACTGCAAATGAGCCATTCAGGGCAATTACTAAGAGAGTCAGTTTGTCTTGGGTGGCAAGAAAGAGAGGAGGGGGCCATCCCCATCCCGGACTGCACCTCACCTTTGTCATAGTTGTGTCATCTTTCCTGGGAGTGAAATTTTCAAAAAAACGAAGACTGTAGAAGCCGACAACAGAGGATACCATGAGATAGCTGTGAGAATCAAGGAAAAAGGAACCTCCAAGGAATGCAAGCTTCACTCAAGTTCTCAGCAGTCTCCTAAAAGTCTTAAGAACTAAAGAAAAAAGAAACAAAAACACTTCAAGTGTTGGAGAAGGACTGACCTATCTCTTTCTTCTCTCCAGGCAAGTGTCTCAGTAAACTGCCAGTGTCCCAGAAAACTAGACAGAATACTTGTTAACAGACAGAATTCTTACGGAAAGGATACAAAATCAAAATGATTTCAAGTGCTGCTCCCACAAAGCCAAAGGTGGATAGGGAGGCATTTCCTATTCCAGGCCCCTACAAGAAGAAAAAACTTTGCATAATTTCACAGAATCATAGAATTTAATAAGATACATAAAACTTCATAAAGTTAACATCTACTAGGACCAAAAGAAATCTAACATCTTACATGAACATAACCTTTTCTGAACACAGTGTTTAAAGAGTGTTCTGATGTCCTAACCTGCAAGTCCCCCATCCCATGCAATGGCATCAGCAGCTTTCAAACTGCACTGAAATGTATTGCCAAGACAGAAGGGATAATGATTCACTTTGGATGCACTCTGCACCCACACACCAGATTGAGTTTTATACATACCCCACTGCTTTGGAAACCAAAATAAGATGCCTCAAAGTTACACATTTCTAATTGTTCACAACACCACAGGCAGAGTGGCCATCACCACTGAACACCTTGTACAGCTCAGCCAGCTCACACCCAGCTATGCACTGGGGAAAGCACTACCAAGTTAATAAAACAGCCCTCATGATTAAAGATACTGTGAGTCAATGAGCTGTTCTTTACTTTCTTCAAGTATTTTTATAATAAAGAAGAAAAAAATGGCATGTTTTCTAAGAGGAACACAAACCAAGACAAGCTTTTCATATTGTTTGTTAACATAGTTTCTTAAATTGAACATTACTAGTCTGTATGAAAGTAGGAGACTTGAGAAAAGCACAACCTTTACAGATTTGCTTTACTGAATCACTGTATCTACATAAAGCTTCTGCACTAGTTTTAATATGAACTGACTATAACATGACATGTAATAAATGATTGTGTTTGCACAGGAACGAAATCTTGAAGCAACGTCAAGGTCAAGGCTCATTAGTTTCCGTGTTACTAAAGCAGAAGTTGTCACTTGCACTTCTGTAAGGACTCTAAAGCTTCACTAAACTTATAAAAATCGTAAGAAAAGTTTACTTTACCCCTGATCCCTTTGGCATTGCAGTCTCATCTACCAACAGGTAAAGAATGTTGAGAGCAACCAAGAGAACTGAGATGGACTATAAAATAGAAACAGTCTTGTTATTTAAAAGTATTCCACATGCTTTAAATGTATACATTTATCCCCACCGGACTCCATAACGTCAAGTTCTTTTAAAATGGTCCAGAAATATCAAGACTGTTGCTTAAACACACATCACCCAAAAATTTTAAAATTATTCCCCCATATGAACAAAGAATTCTTCATAATTTTTGTTGAGGAAAAAGAAAAAAAAGAGAAAAAAACCCAAAAAAACCAAGAGTTCTTACCGTCTCAATCAGTAGCAATATCATGACAGCTGGATAGACTAAATTCCTTTCCCAAGCAGAAGCTTTTTTTCTCCTTTCTGTCCAGAAGAGAAAAACCAGAAGCTTAATAGCATAGATCCCCTTAGAATATAACAAGTAGGTATAATTCAGCTATCTATAAACTCTTGTTGTAACTACAGGTAACAACAGTAACTTTAACTGGAACAAACACCAACCACTTCATAAAAACATCCACCCTGCAGAGCTGTACAAAGCAAAGCCAAAAATATGAAGCCTCTCGAGAGAAAAGTTGGGGAGACAGAAACAAGCAGATTTTTCTCTCTTGTTTACAGGCATGCTTTACCATAGCTTTTTCTTCTCGTGGCACACAGCAATTCTACAAAGTTGAAAATACACTGAATTTAAAAATATGCTGTTTACATGATCTAAAGGGGCAGAACAGAATTTCTGATATTTAAATGATATTTTCCTCTTGTAAGGCAAGAAGGACAAGACTAGCTTCACTGGACATCACTAGCACGTGCAAAAAGACACCTACAATTTGTTCTTACCACAACTTTGTCTTAGTTTGCACATAAACTGATAAATGCAAAAATCCCACAAACCTTTGAATAAGTAAGGAAATCCCTGTTGAGTTGCTGCCATCACCAGAAGTATTACTTTTCATTTTTAAAAGACACAAACCTGCTAAGAATTATTTTACTGCTATTTAACACAATTTGACTTTTATAGAAATAAGTCAAAAAGGAAAAGTATTGTCTTAGACTAACAAAAAAAGCATAAACATGTCATTATATATGAAAAGATCATGGTATTAAGCTCCATGCAAGGAAGTCAAGTGTTTCAGTTTCTCTAAAACTATGTTAAAAGTAAGATCCAAATCATACTTGCTACTTATATTTGTTTGTTGGAGGGGCACAAGGATCCCATGTCATATATTTGTAGAAACTATGACAATTTGAAGGGCACAAATTTGGTTAAGAACAAGTTGCAACCAATAAAGCCACTACTACAAGATAAACACAGCACCTTAAGGCCATTTATTAAACTACAATCCACATGAAACACTAGAAAAGTTTATTACCTAGATTTGTTTTCTTGCTTTTCACTTTTTCAAGCTCCCGTTCCAACTCTACTGTCTGGTATTCCACTGTGGAAGATACACCTTTTAAAAAAGAGCACAGAATTTTGGATGAGACTAAGACACACGGTGACAATTGAGATTCAGGAAGCATCACATTAACACCTGCGACTTGAAACTGCAGGTGTTTCTTTGAGACTCTTCAACTACTTTTCAAAAAACATTCAAGAGCCTCTAATTCTGTCTAATCAGAAGAGTTCAGCACGTCAGAGGTTTCAGTGTGATCTCCTGCGATCCAGGCCTGTCCAGCTGAGAACTGTCCAGCCTGTCCACGAGGCCATACTCTTCCACCTTCCTTTTTACAGTTTACAGCATGTGTGTCACTACTGTGCAACTCCTCATACTCTCTCCTCTACAGCAGCTGAAAACTGACAACCATAATATTAACTCCTTTCTTCCTGCTAATTTTCTCCCTAGAAGTTGCTCAGCAACTTTTTTTTTCCTATCCCTACACATCCTGTAGGAAACCCAGCCCATTTTCTCTCTCCATTATTTCTCTCTTCATGCTCTTCCATGCTCTTCCAACCACCCCTCTTGCCCAGTGCAAGCACACTGTGGTTTCCCTCCTTGATGCCTCCACAGTTCCTCCACAAACACTGCACAGTGTTCAGGTACTGACACAGCTCTGCAATGATGACTAGAAATCTGGTGTTTCAGTTCCCATCTCATTATTCCTCCTTTAGCTTTCACTCTCTGCAATCACAAACTGGAAACATTCCTCCTGGGATAAGTTAGAAACACTCTCCACTCACCTTTGCCCCACTTTCATCTCTTTTATTTCCGAATAATTTCACCTGAAAATAAGAGTTCATATTTTCCCTGTCTGTTCTAGACCAACCTCACTCTGCAAAACCGCTCTGTGGCAGTGACAGCTCAAGGTCTTAACAAACCCAGAGTCCTCTCCTGTTATTGTTTGTCTCAATTTACATTCACACCCTTCGCCTGTTGGCCATTCCCTGCCCACGGCCTCACCTTTGGCTGTGGGCTAACCTGTACTAGCACCACACTCCTGAGACTTTTTTTTTTACATGAAATTAATATTCTCCTCCAGGCTTTTATCTCATATCTTGATCATTTGGCTACAAAAAGTAAACAGCACTTAGGCTGCTGGCACACCAGCACTACTTTGTAGTCCAGTCTCATTATTTCCTTATTTTCTGTTGTCTGCTCATCCATCCAGCAATCTCAGTACAAGAAAGGAAGATTACTCTTTTTTTTGCAGAGTATTAATACTGATTTGTTCAATGCAGTCAAATCATCAATGAGACATCCAACTGTTTGAAATATTAATTTTTACACATTTAATCAAATGCTCTTCATACACATTTTTGCATATAACACATAACCTCAGTGCTATGCCTAAACATTGATCTTGGATTATAGTGACATAAAGTGTATGGGGTAATATATACAGGGCTTCAAATATATAAATATCTGTAATCCCAGGACTAACCAGTAAGACCTCCAAACACTGTTCTGTAACAACTTTTACTCATTTGAACTGCCTGAAATATGAATGTCAGTTTAATTTGTCCACGTTTTTTAAATGAGTAATCATAATGTGAGTTTTCAGGAAAAGTCATGTCTTTTAAAAAAAGCCCCCAAAGCTACTTATCACTATAAAAATAAGCTTTTGTGCTCATGCATTCCCTTTGAAAAAAAAGTGTCTAAAATATCTTTTTTATGGAATGACTAATTACTATGAGGTGGGAAAAAGGATAGATATAGAGCTCAGTGGGAAAAGAACTTTAATGGAAATAGTTGAAAAAGAAGGAAAACTCAAGTCAGTATCTGACACTTTCTTCTTCTCCCTTACTGATTTAGGGGTCTCTGAGGAAAAGCTTAATTCTATATATATGTTGTTTTCTCCCCTCAACATAAAAAATCCAGAACTCAAAACACTGATTTCATGGGATTCTTTCCAACAAAGTCATCGTGATCACATCAGGTCCCCAAGAGACACATCAGTAGAAATCCTGAATCACATCTTAGTGCTGCTGTAGTTCCGCCTCAAAAAGAGTTGCAAACAACAGGTTACTAACAAAAAGATATTTTACGAGAGGGGAAGGCAAACTTTCAGATCAGTCAAAAGAGTATTTGAAAAGGATGCAGCTAAATTCTTAAAAGCTCTCTAACATTAGCTTTATTTCAAACACGCACAAAGTTCAATGTCAGCGCTGTCTCGCCAATAAATCAAATTGGTAGACGAGACTTGTTTGGACTAGCAATGAAAAGTTAGAAGGGATTCTCCAAGAAAGCCACAAAGCAGCTCATTTAAGGTCAATTTAACGGTATTATTCTGTTTTTCTTCCAGCCCCGACATAAGATTTCAGTACCTCAAAGGAAATTGTAAGAGTATCTATTTGCATTCCCCCAAGGTGATTGGCAGTTCAACACCAATTAGTTCAAAATTACACTGTTACTAGTGTGCAATAAAAACAACACCTTTCATCTTTCTTACATAGGTAAGGATACCTTCAGAGCCAATAACTTTGATCAAGTAAGTATTTTTGATCCTACCCCACCCGTCTCTTTGGATTCAGGAAAACTAATAGCTGAAGGCAACTTTTTTCTTTTAATATAAAAAAGTCCCAGCTTTATTCTTCGACTGTAGGAGTGATGTGGGTACTGAAATATAATACACTGGAAACAAACATTTTCCCAAAGCCCAGTATCTCTTCAATAGATAAAAATACTAGGGTAGATAACACAATCAAACTTTCCCCTCCCTCCTCCTCCGATTTTCAGTTAGACACTGCAGACACCTGAGGAGGAAGAAAATCAGTTCCCACAAAGAAGATCTACAGTTTCACAGTTAGATTTATTTTCAAATATGAAGAGCTTTACAGTCATCAAGTATCACTTAAGCCCCTGCTCTGGTCCTCCTCAGTTTTAATAAAAATTGAACTCTCTGGTTATATATATAAGTAAAGAATATATTTCAGAACACTTCACTGCAAACCTGCCCAGCAGGGTTACTTTAGCACATATATTTCCACCACCAACACTGTGGTAGAGTTGCAACGGCCATGGCAGGGGAAATGTGTAGCCAGATATATTTGCTGTGATACAGCAACAAAAAGACTTATACAATCTGTGTGCTAAAACACAGGTTATGGCTGCTAATACCAAAGCACTGGATTTACTGATGTAATGAGCACCACCTTCATTTTTACACATTTTTTAAAAATGAAATAAACATGGTAAGCATGAACTTTCATAGTTCTGGCAATAATGATGTCTATTTTTCTGGCATAATTTGTATGCATTAGAAAGACACTAGAAGAGAAGATGAAGCTTTCCATGCTTGCCATATTAAGTGAGGACCATACTTAAATTTACTTAAGTAACTACTCACAAAAATCCTGCAGAGTATCTTCTTGCACATATATTGCCCCTACCTATGTGCTACACCCCAGTTTAGATTTTTATTTACTTTTCAGTTTAAGTCCATTAATTGTCTCTGTACACCAAACGATGGTTTTTCAAGCATCCCTTCAGGTGGGGTTGCCAATGCCATTTCCTCAGCATGGGAAAGAGGGGAATTCAGCTCCCTCTCCTGTCACAGGACATTCAAGTCCCACATCTTTCACTGCTGAGGAGTACGCTGGTGAGTGCTCCCTGGACCATGGTTGGGTTGTTGTTCCTCTAGTGGTTGGGGAGCCACCTGCACACGTCCTAAATCCAGACCCATTTAGCAGACACCTCCAAAAAGACTAGATCCACCCCAAGAGTGATATTAAACTGCAATATAAACAACTGTTGCATAGGCCTCTGCACAGAAAAACAGCAGACAAGCATCACCTAAATAATCACATTTCCTACCTGAACAGCAGAACCTGCTCTGTGCTACTTCCAGTAGATACCTGAATAACCATCGGGTCATTTTGCTGTGTCGTACACAAGCACAGTCACCATGACAACACAAAATATTCCATAACAAATATTTCACAGTTCCCAGCTAACATCAAACACAAAGAGCAATCATAATTACCCCATCACAGCTTCAAAGGCATTCACTGCATGCACCTTTTTGCGTGCCTGTATGTGAATGCACATAAATATGTGTGTGTGTTAGTATAGAAACCTGAGTTTCCTAAACAGCAAAGGTGAATGTCACTTTTAAACTGAACCAGTGGCTGATTTTAGTAAAAAGAAATCATTAAATCTCCAGAAATTTTAAACACTAGAATAAAGATCACCACCACGATGTCTGCTATCAAAGGTACCTTCCTTGACCAAGCAACTTGGAAAAGAGACTTACTGAGACCTCAAAGAAGGAAGGATTGAGATATATGACAGAAGACAGAACAGTGGGACAGAAAAATGAGGAAATTAAGAAAACTAAGACAGCACAACAATGGATTTGTCACGACATGAATATTCTTTGGTTTTCCAATCTGAAACAACTGTAGATGGATGGCTTATCCATGCAGTTAAAAGCAAGTCAGAAGATTTGCACGTGATTTTCAGGTTTACAGAAGCAACACATTTTCCATAATTGGTACTTGCCATGTTGCAATACTCTTTCTCTTAGAAGCCAAAGCTACAAACTGTTTTTTAAATACTTCCAAACAGAAACACCTTATCAAGAAACACAAGATTGTAATATTAAATACAAGAAGTCTACAACTTTTTTATAATTATTCATTTTAATTATTTGTTAATATAATTATTCAAAGTATTAAATTAATCAAATAGCTCCTAGAATATAAAGAACTGCTGATTTTTAATGGATTAGTGCCTTAGATTCTGAATAACAATGAACTGAAACACAAAACCCCCTCCAAATTAAAAACAAAATGCACATTGTAGGAAGTCGAATCTCTTGCTTACAGAAGCTTGTGGTTCTTCAGACAAGGCTTAAATTGAGTCACTTACCAAGTCAAGATATTTTGCAGTAACAGCTGTGAGTCTGGTCACTGCTCAACTGCTTACTCAGAACATTCACACATTAGAGCTGACGAACAGTTAAAAACAAACCCAAAGCAAACCACACACGTAAGGGCCAATCTTGAACAACCCAGTGAGCAATGAAACATGCACATGCAATGCTTTCTACATGCTCAGATGTTGAAATTCTGAGTTTTGAGAGAAAACAGTGAGATCAATGCTCCTGAGCAGAACCACTCTACCCTAAATGCTGTATCTGGAGCAGAAGCACAACAGGCATACCACACATACCATTAAGTTTCCTCTGAATTGCTTCTTCCTCTAAAGTGATGATATACATCTGCTCATCTAGGTCTTCCAGGATCTGTATTTGGAAACAGAAACATGAACTGAGTATCAGAAGCACTTTTTTTTCCTGATTGCACTAATATAATCAGGTTTACTTTGCTCCAGTAACCTATATTTTAAATATAGAGTCTACACTTCACAATACTGACACAAATGAGAACTTCACAGAGAGATTATTCCATTCTGCTACAGACCTGTTTCTTTAATGCAAGTAAACTTCCTGTTAAGTTTTTACTTATGTTCAGTTTCAGTCTAAAGAGATGGAACAGTACATCTGACCTACCTTCAAATCATATCAATTTAAACACTCACACTTAATCTAAACGGAAGTAACTGCAGATTTTGAAAAAGTATATTTAACAGTTAACTTTTCACATAAGCCAGTATTTCAGGCAAATACAAACTGCTATTGGAAACTAAAAGCAAATAAATTAGGTCTGTCTACCTTACTATCAGGTGCTTTGAGATTAAAATTTATGGATAGCAATACAGTACATATTTTCTTTGTATTTCCAGGATTGAACTGATGAATGAAAAGGAATGCAAGACTTAAGTGCTCCCAAATTTTAGTAACTATGAACTAGGAAACGCAACAGCCAATCACTAGAGCACTTGTATGTGGTACAAACTTCTTCCATCCCTCACAGTTCTCAGGACATGAACAGAAGAGTATCTGTGCATAACAAGTTCTTACTGATGCCAACTACCCACATTTCACCCATCTAAGTGTACCCCCAGGTACCCTTGCTGTTATACAGTCTTTGTTTGCTCTTGGATCCTTTGCTCCTGAACTCAGAACAAGCCCACACTTTTCAGGTATTTGTAAAACATAATAGGGAATACTGGCAATGAATAATACTAGTAGCATTTATATAAATTGAAAAATCAGAGAAGTTTGTATTGTTATAAGAAAAACTTTCTGTGGAAAAAAAAACAGGCTCTTGTGCTATATGGAAAATTTTAAATGAGTACGCAAGTCGTGGCTACAGAAACTGTCAGACCTCTGTGGAAGTGCAAGTATTCTAAAAGGAAGTACCCAAAGGCCATTCCACCTTCTCACAGGTTGCACAGGAAGACAGAATTGTGTGGCACTTACTGTCGGCTTCACCAGCAACTGACCCATTACTGTAAACATCCGCGAGAGTCCCACTGGCGTGCACACTGCAGGGGAAGAAAGAGAGAGTATGCAAAACAGTCACTTGTAAGTCAAAGACCAGTTTTTTATTTGGATGCTCACTGTGCTATTCCACACATAACCATTTTTTGGTATTGAAGAGAACTGCAAAAGCTTCAAGCTCCAAAGGTGAAGTTTTAAGCACACTGCAATCACATGACTTTTGAACAAGACGAGCATCTCTCTCCTCCAAGAGCTTAACTGTGATTGTTTTCTTTTGTCAGAAAGGAACATCACATTATCAGATATCTTAAAACTTGCTCAACTAACTCTTTATTCAATGCATGTGGCACCAGAGGATATGTCTACACTAGTAAATTCAGCAGTGCCAGGATACATTCCTGGGCTTTAAGACTGGATTGCATACACCAGCATTTTGCTAGAACTACCCCTGGCATGATTTGCCCTGGGCAAATTAGCACATTCTCAAACAATTCTCAGTGCAGTTCTGGAGTTCATACAGCCCAGGAACCATTATCATGAGGCAATACATACACAGACACCTTCTGCCAACTGCAACATCCTGGATGGAATGACACTGGCTGGCCACAGCACTGGAGAACATCTCAGGCACGTTGCAACTATTAGCATAGGTGTAGCTGCAAGGTCAAGAGATCCCAAAGCCACTTTGCTCTGAAAGTCATCCTGCAACTTCAGCTGGTAATAGGCTCAGCTGCCAGATTTTAGGCTATTTTCTAAGAAATAACAGCGGGTCCTTTCTGATCCTAGCCTGTGATGGTTTCCAGCAAAGCTGCACATATGCTTTTCTGGGGAGAAAGGCTCAACTGTGCTAATAGAAAATTATTATTAAAAAGTAAAAGTTTAGAGAGAACAGCTTTCAAATTCTGAAAACCTGTAGGAGATGAAGGAATTTGTAACAGCACAGAGGAGGTAATACATTTATAGTTTCCATTATAATAAAAGTGTTGCTAAAAAAAAGAAGCACACAAGATTTTATACTGAGAATTACATTTATTTTTATTAACTAGTGTTTCACTGTAACTACTATGTATCACAGGAAAAATACAAGAGTATTCAAAAATCTAACTTTAGCCAGCCTTCCTTTACTGCAAAGGAAGCCTGCAGGAAAAGGAGAAAAGAGAAAGGAAGTGATGATCCAGATCACCACTGCAATAGGCTTTACTCAAGCACTGCTGCAGCAACTAAACCAGCTGAAGATCTCTAGAAGCTCTACTCCAGCTGCTGACCCACTGCTGTTATGCTGCCCTTTCAGCTACACAGATCTAACAGCTTGGAGGGCCCTAAATAACCTCAGTGGTTTGTCGGCAGAAGAAGGTAGACGTAACTCTTCCAAAAATTGGCATTTAATAACAATGATTTTGGTGAAGTGGTTTACAATAGCCCCAGAACATAGGCTGTGTTTTCAGCTCTGCTGAAACAAAACTGCAGGGCAGATGCACAAGTTTTGTAAACCAACTTCCCATTAAAGTGTTCAGCACCTCTTGTGAATCACAGTCTGGAACAGCCTGCATCAGACATCAAGAACCACAGTGTTATACCTCTCCCAGCTTCCTCCAAAGTGGATTTGGGAATCTGCACACACAGGAGGGAGATTCACCGAGGTCTCTTTCATAGACAGATTTGTTTAGTATCCGAGACGTTTCAAATCATCATTCCCCACCCCTTCTCCATAGTGACAGCTCTGAACTTATCAAGCTTGGAGAAGGGTTGACATCATGATAGTCCAGAAAGGGAGATGTTCTACCCCCAGTTTTCTAGAAAGCATTCAGCAATGGGGTTGAGATTACAAGTGGGATTTGGAGTCTTCCATAGTGTTTCTTATTCCCCTAAATATGGAAGACTCAACTCTGGCTAGGACCAGTTGATATAAAGTTGGGTTTTTTACTGCATTTGTTTTAAATGCAATTGCATAACTGGCCTGCAGACTGGTCAGATACCAGCTCTGTGGTTATGAAACTTGACTGCACCATCCTTCAACTCCTGTCTACACAGCAACATTTTCAATTACAAAAGAAGGGTACTTTACTGAATATAGGACAAACTGTTCCAAAATAATTTTCTCACCATACCACCAACCTCCTGCAGACATTTCATTTAAAAGTTGTGCTTTTCTTTGCAGAATGGAGTTCCTATTTTTCACCTACCTACTTTAACAAGTTATAAGTTAAAATTGTTTTGGATGAGGTCTGAAGTTGCTCAAAACCCAGAAATGTAAGGTACCATTTGCTTAAACTTTAGAACCCAAAGCTAACAAATTTACATCTGAATTTAAACTTACTAAGAACAAAAAAACAAAACCAACATAAAAAATCCCCCAACACACACAGACAAAAAAAAAAACACCATAAAATCATTCACCTTTTGGAATAATCAGGAAAATACTTACACAGAAGTAACAAGCATCCCATCAGTGATATACAGGAATATAAATATGGGAGGTAGAATTCCCAGAGGTCTGTAAAGAAAACATTGAGCAGAGCCTTAGCTTATTATACACGCTCCTTATGTCACAGAATTTAATAGAGAAATGGTGCTGACTGAATGGAGATTCTTCACAACCTGTGCAATACTCACACAGCATTCACTAAAAACATTTATCTAAACACTCATTTCTGTAATTAAAATTAAATTAGTGTGACAGTTGTTCTGCATTCCATACCATATAAAGACTCCATACTGGCAGCATCATTGTCTATGAGTGCTGAGGCCACCCATACGATTCCAAGGATAAGCAGTGCAAGAAGGATGAGCATTACAAGGGTTTCCAAAATGCGTGCTCTGATGCCCTGTGGGCAGAAGAAGAGAGAGGAAGGAGAGAACAGAGTCAAGAAGTTTGAATCAGATATTTTTCAATATAAGAAAGTTACAAATAAATAGCAGAACCTTCTTGCTAAACATATACTCGCATTTTTATCGTGTAGACAAAAGCATAACATGTAATGCACATTTAAAAGGCAGTGCATAAAAAAAGGAAGTACTTATGGTTTTATAGTGTCCAGATTGCATTTTCCCCCTTAAACCCATAGAAAAACGTTTTAAATTGCATATGCCTTACAGTTCTCATTAATCTCATTATTCCATAAAGTACTCTTTATACCATATGATTCTGCTCGAGCATTTTTAAAAGATGGATTACTTTCCTAATACTTTCAGCAAAGAAAGTGGATTAGCAAATTTTTATCTATGATTCCAATCAAGGGAATGGAAAGCCAATTATGGCAAATAGCCAAATGGCCCGGCAAGCATTAAACCCTGCGCAGGTACAATGCACCAATTTCCTTAAAATACGTTCTGCAGCTGCAGCTGCAGCACTCAGTCTTCAGAGCCCTCCAGCGCACGGCCGGAGTACTGCTGGCTCCTGGTTCCTGCTGCAGCCACTGTTCCCATCATTCCCATCATCCCCGCATGTCCCGTGAAACACACGCAAATCACTCCTCTGCAAGGTGACAGACCATGGCATTTGCTCGAGTCTAAACATGTAACAACCCCCTAAGAGTTGAGTCTTAGATTTGCAAATATGAATATACCAACACACAAAATTATATCTACTTTTTGCTGCTGTTTTTATCACTAATTTAACTACGTTTGAGCAATAGAGCAATTGAGACACTTTCTTCAGGCATTCTGGCTATGAAGGGACCATCAGATTGATGTTCAAGTAACAATTTTACTTTTTTTTTTCTTTGCCAGTATACTGCTCCACAAGCAAACCCAACTCTTGTTTCTCACACAGGTTCACCCCAATTTGGGGATATTTCACTGCAAAGGTTACGTGGGAGTTAAAAGCAGAAAATTTGTATTACTTTATTGTTTATCTATTTTTGTCACCTCTTCTCTCACTGCTTAACTAACAGGGTAATCTTATGTGGCATTTACCCTGAAAATTATGCTCCCTACATAAATCACAACAACCAAGCACGAACAAGGACCTCAGGCATCCTGACCATGAGCACTGATCACTTCTAGCACATCATTTCCTCTCCTTCACCAGTCCTCTGCAGAACAGCTAAGGGGACACAAAGGAAAACAGACAAAAAGAGACCTTCACAAAATTCCCCTTAAGGATAAAGTGGACAAATTAAGTCCAAATCCATAAATCATCTCAAACAACTAAATTTCAAATTAAAGTAGCATAGGATAGGACACAGTTTTATTCCTAAAATGTATTTTGCATGTCAGAAAAGGGGCTTTGAGGTTGTTAAAAGTTGTAAAAGTGTTATTTTTCTAGTATTCAAAAACCAGCTTTCAGTTTTCCATGAATTATTTCAGAGGTGAGCATCAAAGGAAAATACATGTTTAAAGTTTTCAACTTGAGCAATAAATTACCAGGAAACAAACAGATTACAGTCTAAGTACTGAGCACTGATAGAGAGCCTTTACTTTACAGCAGAAGACAAAGGACTAAAGAAAACCCAAAACTTTCAAGGATAAATGCACAGAGATCTGCTTCGAGCTTTCCAAGAAAATAAATATAAAGCTATTGTCTGGGTTCATGAAGGCCTCAGCCACAGAAACTGGATTCCTTTCTTCCCTACTATGAGACACATGCACAAATCTCAGCCTCTCTGACTTCAATTGTCACAGCAGCAGATTCTTCTGGATAAACCTGGAAAATATTTCATTTTATATAGTGACCCGAACACCAAACCCTCCTCCCTCAGACTGTCAAAACAGATGAAGAAGAAATACACCATAACGGAGACAGTCAATGTAAATAAAACCTTCTCATACTAAAGATGTTCTCTAAAGACAGGTAAGATTAGGATAATACAAGTAACACTCACTCTCAAAAAAAGGAATGATCACAGCAAGTACCCAGAGCTAACCATTGCTTTTGGCCGCAAGTACCATTGGCACAAACCCTAGAAAAAGCCAGTTAGCTGCACAGTGAGCCTTCCCCATTTTTTTGTTTCCATGCTAGTTTGATCAATCTTTGATTCACGGAAAATTGTATTAATTTCCCTTTCCTCTCACCAGTTACACCTATCTCCACATGTGTGATGCACCAACAATACAATACTGCAGTCTTTTGTGTGTATTGAAAAGTAGGACTGACAGCTCATTCCAAAGCAGGACATTGTTTATATTACAGCACACACACAGTAGGATTTACACACTGATGATCATTTTAAAATAGTAAAATAATATTATTTTTAGGAACTTCAGTGAAGTGACTAGATAGAAATATTCTCTCATAGACACTAATGAATATCTGGTAACAGGCCAGGATTTAAAAAAAAAAAAAATTAAGACACTTAAAGACATATAGGTAAATACTTAATCTCAATTAGGCACCCATAAGACTGTGTCCTATGAAAACATTAATGTTCCAGGCACATTAGTTCATACTTACATACATTAGTGTACCTGCCAAATAGCTGCAATTTGTAAGGAACGAAAGGTACAGAATTTTCCCCCCATGCACACACTCACATGGAGAAAACCTCTGGAGAATCACAGAATGGCTCAGGTTGGCAAGAACCTCAGAAGGTCACCTGGTCCATCCCCTGCTTAACCAGGCCCTCCCAGTGCTGGTTGCCCAGGACCGTGTCCAGGGTATTTGAGCACCTCCAAGCTTGGAGACTCAGAAACCTCCCTGGACAACCTGTGCCAGTGCTCAGGCACCCTCACATTACGAAGTAGTGAGAAATGAGCCTTAGACACCCTTACTACTTCTTATTTTTCAGTGAGAAATCCATAACTCAAACATTGTCATTAGTAACATCATTATTTTAGGAGCTGGGCAAAAATCTATACTCCTGACTTTGAGAAAGAACACAGGTAAATACAAACAACATTGCATTTTATTTCAATAAAGCAAACTATCCAAATAAACCCTCAAATCCAGTGGTTTTTACTGTTATTTTTTTTCTGAGCAAAAACCTCTTCCCTGACATTTTGGTTTTGGCTTAACATGTCTTCGTTGAGTCACTTCACTTCTCTCACACAGCCCCATTATATTACCCACATTTCTTGGACAAACCAAACATCCTGGTACACCAAAAAGAAATTCACAAAATACACAAAATGTAACTGAGCTTGAATTTTAAAATTAAATGGGCAATTGAAATATGTTAAGGTGGTGGGTTTTCATACTTTCACTGCTACACACTAAGAATATTACTGTGACTTCAGCTTATATTTGTGTGGGAAAGAAATAAGGGAAGTAGAAAGACCTAGAAAAATTTATTCCTTTCAAAAAAACCTCATCCAAAATAAAGCCTGGGATTAGGAAGATTATTTGCCACTCAAAGATTAGAAAATCTGAATCAGTAATCAGAAGACATTGTCCTCAAAGGAACTAGATGAAGCAATATAAACCACGGTTAGTTCTTCAGACACTCCCTGAAGATATCCAAAAAATACCAAATGAACAAATTTTTTACTACAGACAAGGGGTTCAGAAAGCCTCCTCACTTTTGTACATTTAGGTGTTGCTCCTACTGCCCAGGGATAGGCAAGGAAGAGGGAATAAGCACTAAGGAGAAAGAGATGAACTGGAAGTGGAACATAAGGAACAAAAGGGAACAGGACAGCACTAAGGTGAGCTAAAAAGGTCATACAGGTCAACTTGACACATAAAATGGGTCTCTTGTGGAAGATGGAAAAAAAAATCATTATGGTCAACAAAACGTTTTGTAAGCAAATTACTATAAGCCCATAGAAATTGTAATTAAACTGGTTAGCAAGGAAATTGGGAAGAAGCACTGACAGATTATACTCTCAATGCCCCTCCCCACTCCCCTTTTCTTTTAAACTTCAAAGTTTCACAGCACATTTTCAAAATCCTCCTAGTTCTTTAATGTGAGCACTTAACCAGGTGAAGTATTTTATTAAAGGAAAGATGTTTAACATATCAATCCCAGTAGACTTGAACTTGCCAAAAGCCCAGTAATATCTGTCATCTTCTCTATACACTGAAGGGGGGGGAGTGGAAAAAGCACTTGGAGCTCTCAAGGCCTGACTACAAATAAAAGCTGTCCTATAAACACATTCTACAGATCTTGCGGTTTGTACAGCCTTAGAGACACCTGACTTTCAAACTTCTAATTCTTTGAAATTCAGTTGTCAAGACATTCAGAAGTTTTTAGTTTAACCCTGAGCTACTTATGCTGCCTGGAGTGCCAAGCCTAGGGGTTCATGTTTCCAAAAAAAACTAACTTTAGCAGGATAGGTTTCACTTTTTCTAGAAGTGTTCCAATAAATTTTTAATTGCTACTCTGGAAAGAGTAATCAAAAACTTACCATGTTTCTTTGCTATTATGATTAACACAGATATAAGTCATCCTGGATGACAAATAGCTAAAAGATTTTAAAAAACAGTACTTAGCCAAAAAAGGTAATTCTTCAGCTGAAAAGGCCAATGAAGTACAAATGGCAACAACAATCCTGAAGGGATAACAGATGTCATACAAGATATTCAGAAAGCATAATTACTAAGGAAACCATCTCTCCCCCACCAGTACATTTGTGCTGAGGGATGACTATTATGCCACTTACAACACATTAAGACTTTTCCTGCTGTGCATGTCTCACACATAACACTTAGAGACTGGTTTTCCTTTGGAAGAGAACATGTGTACTGATAGTTTCTCACAACTTTTCAATAAGGGGAAAAAAAAGATCTCTTGATAATGGAAACAGTAAGTGTTGGGTTTTTTTTTTTCTCCATTTGAAATTCTGTGACTACTTTAAATTATATAAATGTATATATAATTTATATAAATATATAATACATATATGAGTATAAATATTTTGTATATATACAACATGCTTTGCCATTAAC